TCACTAGAAAAGAGGATGGAAGATACGAAGTTGCTGTTCCATGGATACCTGGAGCTGTATTGTCAAACACTAATGAAGAACCCAGTAGGAAGAGACTCCACAATGTAAACAGGAAGTTGAAACAGAATCAACAGCTCAAAGATGAATACGAGAAAGTTGTGCATGAACAGTTGAAAGACGGAGTCATTGAAAAGACCAAAGAGAGCTCGACTAGTGAACGTGTGTTCTACATGCCACACAAACCGGTGATTAGGGAAAATGCCTCTACAACCAAGGTGAGAATGGTGTTCGATGCCAGTGCCAGACCCCATCCAACGGCCAATAGCGTCAATGAATGCATGCACACTGGCCCCCCACTTCAACGATTGTTATGGGACATATTAATCAGAGCCAGAATGTCAACCTATCTACTACTCGCAGACTTGCAGAAGGCGTTTCTGCAGGTTGGTTCGAAGGAAGATGATCGAGATGCGTTTCGGTTTCTGTTTGACATTAACGGTCAAGTAGAACATTTAAGATTTACTCGTGTGCCTTTCGGCGTGGAAGCCAGCCCATTTATGCTTGGTGCCACCCTGCAACACCACTTCAATCTGCAGCCAGAAGAGTACCAAAACACCATTGAGTCGTTAAAAGAGAACACTTATGTTGATAATCTAATGAAGACCGGAAGTGATATTGCAGATCTTGAAGATTTCAAATGCGAAGCGACAGAAATCCTAGAAGACGCGAAGTTCCCAGTCCACAAGTGGGAGTCGAATGTCGAAGAACTTGACAACGAATCAAATCCCAGCAAAATACTCGGACATAAATGGAATAAGAGAAAAGATACACTTGAGATTCGAGCAGAACCTACAAAAAACGAAACACCAGTGACAAAGAGACATATTCTGAAGGAACTCAGTAGCATAAATGACCCTTTGGAAATAATATCGCCGACCATGGTTGAAGGGAAGCGCATCTATAGAGAAGCGTGTGATGAGAAAGTCGGCTGGAATTTCAGAAGTATCTACCAGCACGTCCAAAGATTGGATAAAGTGGCGACAACAGTTAAGAAACGTAAAAATTCCGAGAACACAGCGTGCTCGGCGGTCAGTATAGCAGTAATCGAACATTCCAGTGGAATAGTTAAAGGTCTTCTTACGTCAAAGTCCAGAATTGCCAAGAGAAACACTTCCATACCAAGGCTGGAATTAGTTAGCGGTCAGATGGCTGCCAATATGGCTAAGAATTTGGTTGCCGCATTGAGAAGATGGCCAATTGCATCAGTTGCAGTGTGGATGGACAGCCTGGTTGCTTTGTTTTGGATTGCAAGCCCAGAAAGATCCTGGAAAATCTTTGTATCAAATCGGACGCGGAAGATTGCTGAAATTACGGAAGAAGTAGGCATCAGTTGGAAGTACTGTCCATCCGAGGAAAATTTAGCTGATTTAGGGAGTCGGGGAGCTTCGATCGACAAAATGGAAAAGGACGGTTGGTTTAATGGTCCCGAGTGGCTAGTAAACCCAGACAAATGGCCAAAACAACCAAAGCTCGAGAGAACAAAGACTGTCCTGGTCGAGCAAAAGCCGATGACGGAAGTAGCTTTCAATACGCAAGAAAAAGATCCGGACGAATGGGACTTGCTACTTTCTAGATCAAGCTACTGGAAGACTATTCGTGTTACTGCGTGGGCGTTAAGATTTGTAAGCAATGCAAGAGCCAGAAAACAGAAAACTAACCTAGCGAAAGGTCCACTGACGACGAACGAGCGAGAACAGTCGAAAGTGCGATGGGTGAAGAAGGTCCAAGAAGACATGAGTTCGGAGCTACGAGCACCTGGATGGGAAATCATACGAGAAGGTGATTCTGGTTTACTGAAATGTAAAGGTCGAATTCCCGGGAATCAGCCGATATACTTGGAAGGAGGAGACTTTACGGACAAATTGATTATGCATACACACAATGAGATACGTCATTTTGGTATCGCGAACACGATGGCCGCACTAAGAGAGAACTGGTGGATTCCGAGACTGCGCTCGAAAGTTAAAAGGATCATTAACGAATGCAACGTATGTAAAGCGTACAGAGTCAAATCATATGGTCGTACAGCAACTGCCGAACTACCTACGTTTCGAATCGAAAGCGGAGGACCATTTGAAACAACGGGTGTTGATTTCGCGGGTCCCCTCACATATAAGCTTACCAAGAAAGAAGAAGGCAAGTGCTACATCCTAATATTTACATGTGCTACATCCAGAGCCGTGCATCTGGAGTTGACGAAGACACAATCGGCAGAGGAATTCAAAGTAAAGCTAAACGCCTTCATCGCAAGAAAGAGCAGACCAAAGTTGATTGTGTCGGACAACGGAGGAGCGTTTAAAGCGACAGCGTTATGGATCAGAAAGATACGTAAAAGTGAACAACTGCAAGATTATTTGGCAAGACAAGAGATTCGGTGGAGATTCAATCTATCCAAGTCCCCTTGGTGGGGTGGAATGTACGAACGCTTACTTAATTAAGGACATTAAAAAAAGCCCTGTATAAAGTTCTGGGAAGATCGACATTATGTTTCGACCAGTTACAAGCTATCGTAATTGATATTCAGAAAAATGTAAACAACAGGCCACTGACGTACGTCGAAAGCGAGCAAGAACAGGAACAAGTGCTTACACCAAATACAATCTGTGGGGACAAAACGTGCATACCATTGACGAATCAGACACGGATGATGGAGAAGAAGTCGTGAAGTTACACAAACGAATGAAGCAGCAACGAGAACACGCGTGGCAAAGATGGAAGACGGAGTACGTACATAGTTTGATGGAACATCATTGAGTGATTAAAGGGGAAAATGCGTGTCCAGAAGTGGGAGAAATGATGTTGGTGGTCGGTGAGGAAAAGAATCGAGCTGAATGGAAACGGGGAAAAGTTGTTGAGCTAATCAAGGGCAAGGACAACGTTGTGCGAGGAGTAAAGATCTTGACGAAGGGACATACGATTGAAAGACCACTTTCTCTTGTTTGCTCTCTCGAACTCAAGGAAACAGAGATTGAAGAACCGAAGCCAAAGGAGACGAAGCCAAAAGAAACGGACGAAAGCGGACAACGAAAGAGTAAGAGACAAGCGGCAAAGGACGCTAGGTGTAAAATACTGCAGTTGATACAAGAGGAACTGAGGAAGAGGAAGAAGATTGAACTGAGTATCGGGAAACACAACGATCATGTGAGACTTTGTGAGCGAGAGTTTTGTGTAAAAAGTGGGAGTTTTTATAGTTTATTAAACTTTACTAAAACATAATACGAGAGTTTTAGTGTGCCGACACAAGTTCGGCACAACACCAAAGATTTAGGAACCATAATATATTGCAGAATGTGAAACCAATTTAGTATAAATATTTATGAATATTGTGTTTTCAAAACTATACTGCAGGCTCGTAGCCCACCTGTGTTACACTTCATGTAACATAAAGTATATTGCCAATATTGGCCTGGTTATAAACATGGTCGCCATTTCATATTTTTCTACAAACTTTTCTTAATCGACTTCATTCAGTTCATTGTTTCTTCGGTTTATACTGAAGAAGTTGTGCCACCAAAAAGAGCTAGAGTTTCAGCAGAATGCGCAATTTCAAATATTATGCAATTTATGGAACGATATGACAACAATGACAGTGTCACAGTGATGATGAAATCACTCAATCAGTCATGTTGAAAATGATTTGGATTGTTTATATAGGGAGACAGGTCAGTTTCAGTTGTATGTCTTTTCATATGGTACAGAAATGCCAGCTTGTAAAGAAAAATGGTGGTGTTTATGAACATCTGAGGTATGCCATAACATAAAAGTATGTCTTTTGAATGTAAAAGACCCAAAAATATCACATCCAAAATGTTTTTTTTTATCTCTTTACATAAAACTAGAAAATACATGCATGCAGAAACCCTCGCCTTGCTGACAAACAGACAAAACCATTGTATTTTCCGAACATGAAGTATCTGAAGTAGTTGTCATGGTAACACGATAATTCTTTAAGAATATTCTTACAAATGAAAAATCGCCTAAAAAATATCACTTTTAATTACAAAATTATTAATTTTCCAACATATATATGTTAGGTATGTTATTTATTTTATTATACGTAATATAAGCCTCAATTTAAGGTAAAATTCAACCACAAACGCAGTCAGGGGCGCCGGAGCCACGGGGGCAGCGGGGGCAACTGCCCCCGTTGCCCGAATATTGCCGGGCAGCACGGGGGCAACAGGTTGCCCTTTTTGCCAGAACTGCACCTCGAAATTTGTGCATTATTCACAAGAATTGGAGTTTAGAACTATTTTTAAGCAATGTTTAAAGATGCGGCACAGTCCGTATGTAAACAAAGGATTTGTTTACATTTCAGTATCGAAAATATAGAATTTTATTCGACAACTATTTATATTTTCATGATTCTAGAGTATAATAAATTATCAAGACATAACAATCAAGCTTGCAAGAACATAAAATGAAATAAAAACCTAAATAAACTGTTTGTATAATAAAAAAGAGGGCTCCCTTGTGTCCATGCGCAGATCGGACTGTACAGCATATCTTTAAGCAATCTTTGCTTAATTTTTAACCAGTTGTATAGTAAAATTAATGCTATTTACAGGGGCATAGGAAGCATAAAAAAGTTGGGGGGGGCACCGGTTTTGAGGAGCACTTTTGGAATGAAAAGGGCACCTAAAAATGTTTTCCGTAAATGTCGCCGAGGGCGGAGGAGGGGGAGGAAGGAAAAATAAATGCAATCATATTGAAATCAAAGGCCGTTGAGGCCATCTCACAGATGAAATCAAATGAATGTGACAGAAAGAATTAAAGCAGCTTGCAGTTTTGCAAACGAGCATCGTGCAAATTTTGCCATTTGTCGTGCTCCAGCCCGATTTCCGGTTCTGAAAGGCCCGATTCACAGGCAAAGAGTGCGCGCCAAGCATACTAGTCATTTCTCATTGTTTAATTAACTGCCCCACACTCAAGTAACCACAAAGACTAAAAAATGAGTCAAAAATGAGTCAAAAATGCAAATTCGTGAGTCAAAAATGCAATCTGAACAAAAATTTTCACGAACGCAAAGGGCACTTTTCCTGCGCCCCAGATGCTAAATCAAGCAATATACGTGCGTTTACTGATTTTATTTTGCGCTTTTAGCACGGTGCAACGAATAAAATTGTTCAAATTAATGTCGAAGTTTGCGACTCATGATAGCCAGAAGTAATCGAGCATCCATACAATAATGTTTTAACAAATATTGCTGCCCAGAAAAATGATGGCTGAGAAGCAAGTGCCCTTTTGAATTGGCTGCACCCGCCGCTTCACATTGCTTCCGGCGCCCCTGCAAACGCTTCGCAAAACGTTTTAAAGTGACTAGTGTTCTTTATAAAACTAAACTGCCTTTTAAAATGGCTTTATCGATAAACTTTGAGTTTGCAATAAAATGACTTCAAATTCTCGCTTGCAAATAACTCTGCTTTCTTTTTTATTTAAAAAATTCAAATCATAAAAAAGGGAATCAATATTACTAAAGATACACTGAAATAATATGCTGTCTTGTTTAATTGTTTCATATACAGTATGCAAAGGCCGTCGGGTTTTAAATTAAATCCATTATAAAATCAATATTTAAAACATACTTACCTTCGTTAACGTCGGCTCACTTCTTTTAGCCGATTCTTTCGCCCTTTCTTTCTTGAAATTTACAAAATCTTGCAAAAATGCGAGCGAAAATGAAATATGTTTGAGATATTTACAAGAAATTTATCAATCATCAAATCAAGAAATGTTTGCTATTTCGGTGTCGTCATGCAGTCGTTATAATGCAAACTTTAAATTGAACCAATCAGTTTTCGCTATTCATGACAGTCCGCCACATATTTTGAGATCAGTGAGGATGACCACCCAGCGAAACATCGTTGGTGAGCCACGCCCGCGATATTTGATGAACTTTAGACTTCGCTAATGCTTTCGTTTCCCCGGGTGTAAATAGCTGGGGGGGGGGGGGAATTAGTACCTTCGCACGGCGCCTCGGGGATAACCAAAATAGGTAAAATATTAGCAATATTCGCCATTTTTTGACAGGCGGCCGTATTCAATGGGGCCAAAAAACAGCATTTTGGATTTGAATTTTACTTTTTTGTTATTTTTAAGTTAAAGAAAGATAAAACTTACTAAAAATAAAACTTATAGGATAATGGCAATTACTCAACAGAATTTTTTAGCCTATCAGCACTGTTATAATTAATGCAAGCGAGTCGTCGTATGGTGCTTGCGTGTATATCTCATACGAGCATGAAGCAGGAGTTAAATGCAATTTAGTCGCCTCTAAAACAAGAGTAGCACCCATGAGTGAACAGTCGATACCACGTCTTGAATTGCTTGGATGTTTAATCTCGGCACGATTAGTTGATAACATTCGTAAGGCATTACAAGACGTCTTAAAGATCCATGCTATTTTCTTCTGGTCCGATTCAACGGTTGCACTAAGCTGGATAAGGAGTGTGTGTAAAGAGTACAAACAGTTTGTAGAAAATAGAGTTCAGGAAATTCGAAGATTGACAGATCCAAAGGATTGGAGGTATTGCCCAACAAAAGACAATCCAGTAGATATTGCCTCAAGGGGAGAATCAGTATCGAAGCTCGTGGCGGATGATAAGTGGTGGTATGGTCCTACCTTTTTAGTAAATCCCAAGGATTCGTGGCCTGTACAGCCGTCGCACGGGGAAGAAAGCAAGAATACGTGGCAAGAGTTGAAGACATCCAAACAGACTGTGATGGCGGCGGTCGTTGATACTGATGTACAACCAGAGCACAGTATAGAGAACTTGCTAAAGCCTTCGAAGTATAGTAAGTTAGAAACTTTACTTCGTGTAACAGCCTATGTGCAGAGATTCGTTGACAATGTAAAACGAAGTTTGAAAGGTGAGGAAATTTTGAAGGGTCTTCTAACTGCTGAAGAACTAGAGGTGGCAGAGAAATCCTGGATTAAGCATGTGCAAGCTTCCTTAACAAAGCTGCCAAAATATAATAAAATGAAACGATCTTTAAGCTTATTTGTGGACGATGAGCAACTTATCCGTTGTCATGGTCGAATCGAAAAGTCAAATCTACCCAACGAAACGAAGTTTCCTATGTTATTACCCAGCGATCATGATTTTACTAATCTCGTAGTTCGGCATTGTCACACTGAAGTTATGCATAATGGCGTTCGGGAAACTGTAACTCAAGTTAGATCGAGATATTGGATCGTAAGAGGGCGACAAGTAGTGAAGAAGATTATCGCTCGATGTTTAACATGTAAACGATTAGAGGGCAAATCTTACGGAGTGCCGCCAGCACCTCCCTTGCCAGAATACCGTTTAGATAACGACGTTGCCTTTTCAAGAGTAGGAGTTGACTATGCTGGCCCATTATTCGTGAAGAATATATATTCTAAGGACAGTAAAATGTATAAAGCGTACATTGTACTCTACACATGTGCGTCGAGTCGCGCAGTTCATTTAGATCTCGCCGTTGGTGCAACCAGTGAAACATTTATACGTAGTTTCAAGAGGTTTATGAGTCGCAGAGGAATACCAGGAACAATGATTTCGGACAATGGCAAGACATTTAAGTCGAAAGAATTGAAAGAATTTTGTACATCGAAAAGAATCAAGTGGGTACATATTGTTGCACGTTCCCCATGGTGGGGAGGTTTTTATGAACGTTTAGTTCGGTCAGTTAAAAGATGTTTAAAGAAAGTTCTACGAACTGCCCGATTGACTTACGAAGAATTGCTCACGTTGTTAATTCAAATAGAAGGCGTGTTGAATTCTCGTCCTCTCACTTACTTGTATGAAGACAACGATGAACCATTAATCCCTTCGCACCTTGTACTAGGAAGAAGAGTACTTACTCCAGCGAAGAGCGTAAGTTCAGGTATATCAGACGAAGTTGACACCGCAGAAGGAGCAACACGACGCGAAAGACATTTAAAAACTGTTTTAACGCACTTCTGGAAAAGGTGGAAACAAGAATACTTAACTCAATTGCGTGAATATCATCGTCCTCGCGAAGGGTCCAAGTGTTAACAAAGGTGATGTTGTTGTCATTGCAGAAGACAACGTGAAACGTTTAAACTGGAATATTGGACAGATCGAAAAGTTGTTAACGGGTCGCGATGGAAATACTCGAGCAGTCGTGGTGCGTACTTTCGGTAAAGACGGAAAGGTGACTACGTTGGATCGGCCTATTCAAAAGTTGTATCCTTTAGAACTTAAATTGGAACAGGAGCATCCTGAAAACTTTCCAATTACGTTTGTTAAGCATGGACTTAAGGAAAACTGATTAGATTTAATTACTTATTTATATCGTTGAATGGTTCTCACCAGTCAAGGTGGGGAGTATGTTATAATTAATGACGTAATTATTACGTGGACACCACGCGTGTGTCACGCAATTCTGCGAGCACATGGAATATTAATGTCTTGTGTGGAAGTTCTGAGTAGAGCGAGTTAAGAAGTGATATATAATTTTTAAAAGTTTATTTTTTATTTAAAAACGAGTTGAGTTCAATTATTCGAGTATAGTTCAATTTATTACAAGCACACCCCAGGTCATATCAACATGAATAAACCCCTGTAAGATTATCGTTTTATGATGGGGTATGAAACATTGAGACCGTTATCTTGATGGGGTACCAAATATTATCCGACAAGCTTGTGGGGGTATGAAACGTTTTTCACAAAATTAAAAATATCCTCCGCCCCTGGGTAACTTACTTTATGACCGCTCCCTTATAAAGAACACTTTAAAACGTTTTGCGAAGCGTTTGTGTTTGAATTTTACCTTAAATTGAAGCTTATAATACGTATAATAACATACCTAACATATAAATGTTGGTAAATTGATAATTTTATAATTAAAAGTGATATTTTTAGGCAATTTTTCATTTGTAAGAATATTCTTTAAAAAATTATCGTGTTACCATGACAACTACTTTAGATACTTCATGTTCGAAAAATGCAATGGTTTTGTCAGCAAGGCGAGGGTTTCTGCATGCATGTATTTTCTAGTAATATTTTTTATTTACACGTCGTTCGGAGAAAGAATAACTTGGGTGAACATCGTTTCTTCAAGCGAAAGCGTGTCGAGCATTACGCCAACGAAGCGTGTCTTTATATAAAAAAAGTATATGCATGGAGAGATGCCCTCCTGGAGCCATGACAAAGGCTGTGTTTTACCTTGCTCCCAAGCGAAAGTGTCTTGACTCTGATAAAGGTATGTTATATTATCATGATTTTGAAATCCTTTGCTGAGAATTGAAATTGCGGTTAAATTTTTGTTTTTTTAGTGTGGTTCACGTTAAACCCAGTTGGCCATAATACATTGGGCAATACGGTAAAAAATCTGTGTCAGAAAGCTGGGATTGAAGGCTATTACATCATATAATAAGGCTATATGTATAAAGATCGTTTTCCACTATAGGCGGAATTTTCCGCGCGGATCGGAATTTCTCTTTGTCTTTTATAATTATAATTAGTTTCACCCGAGAAATCGCAAGACAAAGAAAAATTCCTCTCCGCGCGGAAAATTTCACCTAGTGGAAAACGGGCTTAAAGGGCCTTCAAAAAGGTCACTGAATCAGCTAAACTTTCGTCCTCCTCGCTATCCGCCACCTGTATACATAACAGCACTCGAATTCCACTAGCACTTTCCACGTAATTTCACTTCTAATCATACATGCAATAAGATGCAAAATCTACAAACCATTATGCAAAATTTTAGGCATTTAAACAATACAAAATACGCGCAAAGCAAAACTATTTTCTTTCTTGCCTACAAATAAGAGCATTGGTTTTCTCTACAGGGTGTACAAAAAAACGCAACCTCGGAATTCCTAAGAAATCCACTTTGCAATTCTTAAGCATAAAATATTTTAGGCCCCTGGGAATTGAAATCGAATTGCTAATAGGTCATATTACTGCTGTTGTATTGTACTTGTAAAATATATAAACAACGTATTAATAATATTTAAATAGCATGGTTGAATGACTTAATGAGAACTGAAACATTGCTATTGGATGATTCGTTCATTATACTTCATACAATGTGTTCATTGACCGTGCACCGTGCACAAAACTGCATAAACGCGAACAAAAAGATAGAACAAAGACTGTAGAGGAGTTTCCAAACCATATTTTGAAAGACTATGCTCGAACTATGGCATTTAGTCAAATACAGGTCTCGACGCTGCGCGCCTCGGCCTGTATTTGACTAAATGCCTCGGTTCTCAGTAATTAGCTCTTATTGAACAATTTAATCAAAATTTAATGGTTAGTCGCTGGTCTATGACTGCCTTTGTTATGATTGGGCTTTGCCTCTGAATATTAATGATATGCTATTATTATTCTACGCGTACAGACAAGAATTGCTTGTATGTTGCCCCATAGCCTATCGAAGGGGAGATGGCTGTGAAACTCTTTAGAATAACAATATAGCTCATTATCTGTGTTAGTCAACGTTTATTCATAAATATGGTCCTTCACCGTCACGTGTGTATTGTATTTCTGCCAAATCCACCAATAGCAATTTCCAGTTTCCCTATTGTTCGAGTCACGGATAGTTGACTTTCCTAAAACATTGCTATTGGTTAGTTGGGTAAAATACAATACACATGTGACGGTGAAGGACCATGCAGATTTATGAATAAACGTTGACCAACATAGATAATGAGTTTTAGTATAAATTTTGCATATCAAATGAGCTTTCACGCGTTTTGATTGGCTAGTTGCATGACTAGTAAATCTGAGGCATTATTTATCACCTGGGTAAGTAAATAATACTTTTCAAAAAGAATGACTCGGCAAATTTGGTTTCAAAATCGACAAAATAATGAAAAAATCGTCCTCAGAAAACGAAAGAAGCACAAAATGTTGTATTTAACTTGAAAGGTAGGATTCCTTTATTATTTTATGGTATCAAACATATTCACGGACAATTTAAAACTTATTTAAAACCGGAGTTTTTGTTTTCAAAGAAATAGCAAAAACAAAAAAGTATCCCGACTGTTTAATGGGAAAAACTTGCCGTGATATTATTTTAAAGACCTTTGAATCCATTTGTTTTGTATGCTATAGATTTCTCAATTTGTACGATACTATTTCTTTTGATATGTCATGTTTTCATTGTTCTGTATGGCGTTCTGACCGCTGTATTGTGTTTTCGAAACTTATAAAGTGAAAAGCGTTATTAAAACTTTATTTCGAACGATATATAGTTTTACTTTTACCAAATTTCATTATATATACTTTCATTTTACCAAATTTCTCAGCCATTTCCTGAGAAAATTAATGCTAAACAGAAACTATTTTTTAATTCTAAGTCTGGTGAAAAAGTCATTCCGTTAATGTGTTTATATTCTAAGCAGAATCGAGAAAAACAACTTTGTAATCCCCGAGCCGACATCGCGAAGCGCCGTGCGAGGGTACTAATTCCCCCCGGCTATTTACACCCGGGGAAACGAAAGCATTAGCGAAGTCTGAAGTTCATCAATTATCGCGGGCGTGGGTGACCAACGATGTTGGGGTGTTGTGTGGGTGGTCATCCTCACTGATCTCAAAAATATGGCGGACTGTTATGAATAGCGGACACTGATTGGTCCAATTTAAAGTTTGCATTATAACGACCATAGAGATTATAAATAACACTAGAGGAAGCATCGAGTTTAAAAATTGGGAACGCAGCTAATGGGGGGCCGGCAAATTTAAGTCCCGGATATAAAATCGTGCTCTCATTGGCTGATTTAAAACTCGTCACCAATGGGAACACGAATACACATCCGGGACTTGACTTTGCCCCCCAATAGTCGCGTTCCCTTTTTTTTTACTGAATTAAGATTACAATGCCTCCTCTAGTGTTATTTATAATCTCTATGATAACGACTGCATGACGACAGCGAAATAGCAAACATTTCTTGATTTAATGATTGATAAATTTCTTGCAAATATATTTCATTTTTGCTCGCATTTTTGCAAGATTTTGTAAATTTCAAAAGCTCCCTCAGAAAGAAACTGTGAAAGAATCGGCTACAAGAAGAGAGCCGGCGCTAACGAAGGTAAGTTTGTTTTAAATATTGATTTTATAATGGCTTTAAAACCCGACGGCCTTTGCGTATATGAAACAACTAAACAAGACAGCATATAATTTCTGTGTATCTTTAATATTGATTCCCTTTTTTATGATATTGAATTTTTTAAATAAAAAAGAAAGCAAAGTTATTCGCAAGCGAGAATTTGAAATCATTTTATTGCAAACTCAAAGTTTATCGATAAAGCCATTTTAAAAAGCAGTTTAATAGTTTTAATATAAAGAACACTAGTAAGCATTTGTGGTTGAATTTTACCTTAATTGAGGCATATATTACGTATAATAACATACCTAACATATATATGTTGGCAAATAATTAATTTTGTAATTAAAAGTGATATTTTTAGGCGATTTTTCATTTGTAAGAATATTCTTAAAAAATTATCGGGTTACCATGACAACTACTTTAGATACTTCATGTTCGGAAAATACAATGGTTTTGTCAGCAAGGCGAGGGTTTCTGCATGCATGTATTTTCTAGTAAAGCAATAAAGTCACACAAGAATCCATATTGAAAGCGTGTGCGTACAAGAAACACTGCAACACTGTCAGTGACAGTAACCGTGAACAGGCCGAAAACAGTTTTATTTCTGAATTTTAATTGAACTGATATTTGGATATTTTGCTTTATTCATTAAAAATTTATACTAAAACAATTATTCGCCTCAGGCTCAGTGATTACGGTGAATATTCACCTCGACTTCGTCTCCGTGAATGAATACCGGTAATCACCTCGCCGAATAATTTTTAAATATTGTTATTCTAATGAGTTTCACAGCCATCTCCCTTCGATAGGCCATTGTTGCCCCTAAATCGAAAAACAAACGGACACCGTCAGTCTATGAGGAATATCGTTTAAAATCATCGTGTCAAATTTCGTGACGATCGGACTCAAAATGAAGCAGCCTTAAGCTTTTTTCGAAGAGCGTCGCCCCCCTAACAACAACAACAACAACAACAACAACAACAACAACAACAACAACAACAACAACAACCACAACAAGAATGGTCCAAAAAGTGAAAATTTACATTGCTACTATATGCTACCATGTTGATTTTTCCTACCTCGTTTCTCGGCTCTGCTCTTGTTCTGTCAATTGTACTGCATAGACCTTACCGTTTATTGACCTTTGACCCAATGGTCTCGTTTGTGCATAATAATAACACACAATTTATAAAAAAACTGTATATTTTGAATCAAATCTGATTCATGTTCAGCAGTGTTTTGCAAGATATGTCGTTACAAAACACTATACGACATATCTTGCAAAACGCTGCTTAAGATGAATCAGATTTGATTCAAAATATACAGTTTTTGTGGGTAGCCGCGCATGCGCAGCTAACCACTAATCACTAAATTAAGGCAAATAGAAAGCCAAGCACGGTTTATACAAGGGTCGGTGACACTGGAATATTTGCGCACGAAGTCTTTGGGATATATTTGTCGAATATTGAAAGCAAGTTGAATGTCATTACCAATATATATGGGATCGATTATGTCCTTGTTTAATTAATTTAATCATCACTAAATAAATAATATGTCGATCTTTTTCAACTCCGATGGAAAACATCGTCCTTAGATCTTTGCACGGACTATCCTTGAAACTCAAACTTCACGAAAATTGTATACGCAGCCTGTATGCTGTCCTTGAACAAGAACTCTTCTTGTGTTAAGTGTTCTTAAGTATTTTGCTTCGTATACATATTAAAGACCTTTTCTGTTTGTTCAGTGTGTGCAAATTATTTTTGACACATTAAAATACTTTGTAACTTTTATATCTGTTTATGCTTATTGAAAAATGCACGTAACAGCCGTTCACGTATTTTTGTCATATCTAATGTTTAGTATATGATTAAATGTGTGTATAATACTTGAACTGTGTCCAATGTACTTAATACTTTCTTTCAGTACATTCAGAATTTGACAATAGCGATTATGGTGGAGTAATATGGGCAACAAAATTGCTGCAACTTGCAACAAAATCTGATTTCTGCGCATGTTAATTGAAATGTTTTATCAACACCTCTACTTAAAATGCGTTGAAATCAGATTTTGTTACAATTAGTTGCAGCAATTTTCTTGCTCGTATTACTCCAGCTTTAACAACAATGCAGGCTACCCAAATGTACGCAGCGCGTACCTATTTTTTATAAATTGTGTGTTATTATTATGCACTCCTTATTCGGAATAACGTTTATTCTATATTTGCTGAAATTATCAGCCGGATAAGAATTCTGTATTTACTTGTGTTTGGTGCACAATACGGGAAACCGGGGAATATAACCTTCATGTGGCCTGTTATGCCAAAACTGGTAAATCAATCAGAATTGAGTAATTTTTTCATTTATATTATTACAACATGTTACAGTACGTAATATGTTTTCAAATAACAAAATCCAATATATACTGTGCCATGATTATTTCAACTACCAATAATTTTCGGATTATTGCATTT